TGGTTCAAGATTCTTACAGCAATCAATGACGTTAGATGTTGAAGTCAAAAATCTCGAAAGTCTCTTAGATAATCTGCAGATCTTACGCAACCAGTGGAATGCTATCTTTAAAGAATATCGAGCAGTTTCCGAACATTTGGCGACCACCACGTCAACATTCTCAGTGAGTCGTAAAAAGAAACGAGTGGAAGTTGCACCCGAAAATTCAGATGAAGATTATACTGATGAAGAAATTAATTTCAAACATAACACTTTCTTCATTATCATGGATTCGATCATCGCGGGAATAAGGAGCAGATTTGCCTCAATAAGAGCAATCAACAACATATTTTCATTCTTGTGGTTGTTTACGAAAATGGAAGTAGAACAAGTTCAGACTGCTGCGCTACGTTTTGCTGGAAAATACCCTCATTCACTTAAAAAACGTTTATCAGGCTAATTTTGCTGAGAGTAGTACAACTCATTTGTCTCCATTCGATTTGTTGAATGCTATCACCGCCAAAAATTTAGATACACTGTTTCCAAACATCTGCATTGCTCTGCGGATATCTTGCACGTTGCTAGTCTCAGTTGCTAGCGCCGAGCCATCATTTAGCGTACTTTCAAGAATAAAGAACTATCATCGTTCTTGTTCAACGAAATCTCGAGTCTCAGGACTGGCAACATTATGTTTGGAATCTCAATTAGCTAGAAAACTTGACTTCAGTATTATCATTGAGGAATTTGCATCAGCTAAAGCAAGGAAGGCATATTTTTGTGGGTTGCTACCTATTTAAAAAACTATTGTGATGCAAACTAAGGTAATAAAATTGTTTAAACAAAAATTGTTCCAGATTACTTATTCATTTTCATTTTTATGCAAGTTCTATTCTATGTTAATCCTCAACTCGTTGATTTGCAGTGTAAGTAAAAATAAACATATTTGTTAGATCATGAAATTAAGGTGTTGGGGACCCGCATTTGAATTATCCCCGGGCACCGATTTTCTCTCGGCGGCGCTGCATACTTGTATGTATGTATATACTTAAATTAAAAAAAAAATATGTTCTTAAAAAGGCGCTTTATTTACACAATTTCAAAATTGTTTAATGGTGTACAGGATCAAATTACATTCGAGCGATTTTCCGTTATGTAAACTGATCATTTTATTTCATTCGGCTCTAATTTAACTTCTGAAACGAGCATTTCATCGTTTTCATAAATTTGTTAATCTTTAATTAATTTAATCACGCCCTGAAGTCATTTTAGCTTGTCTTCTGCAAATTGTTTTTTTCTTTAACTTGGTACTTTAAATACCAAATGTCATTTAATCATTTAATATGGGACTCAAAAATTCGCCGAATAGCCTCAACAACAATTCCACTGCAATGTGGAGAAATGTGTTTTACACAGTGAGGCCAAACCCGTTGAGCGCTCCTACATGAAATTTGTATTTTTGCTTTTATATATTGCAGACTTTAAAAACGAATTTATTTTGATATTGTTATTTCTTTTGTAAGCTATGTAAACCATGTAATTGATCTATGTAAAATATCCCTGCCAAAACGGGCTGATGGGTGCACCAATACACACACACGATTTCGGGCAGCGCTAATGTTGCAACTACCTATTTTTCTTACCATCCGTCCATAACTGGCGACGTCAAGGCGAGATATATACACGAGTTATCGACGATGCAGAGAGCGGGGAAATGTTGCCAGCTGCCAGTGTGTTTGCACACTTTTGAACAAATTCACAATTTTCGTCAACGAATTTCATAATTTATATGCTTGCATATAGACGCAAGACAAATATACACGATCTATATGCTAACAAATAATTATTTACGCATTTAGTTCTCATTTCTTTTGAACAAAACTACGCATTATCTTCGATTATTTAATGTTACTTTAAGAAAGGCTATACTGGCAACCTTGTATAGCACCGAAAAATGAGCCGAGCCGATTTTACGGAAAAAAATCAAATCGCTGTTGGTTTCTTCGGGACAACCGTCACTAACGGCATGGGCAAGCGGTGACAACTTTGTGTTTACATGGCGCTCTCATAAGATAGGCTACTATGGACGGCTGGTACGTGAGTTGGGTAGTTGCAGCATAACAAATAAGCAAGTTGTTCTTTTTATCTTTCGCCTTTTTTTTTATTTATTTCTCCCTATTTTTCATAGCTTCTTTCAAAATTCTTTATTTAATGGCACTCCATGTAGTACAGAAAGATCAGCTAATGGCTCAGTTTGACTGTAACGGACGCTTCTCATCTTGCTGTAGTAGCAGATTTAAAAATATTCAATAAAACAGTGCACGGTGTGTCCGAAAAATAACCGAACTTTTTGGATATAAAATAAAATACACATTATATTATCTTTGAAAGTTAATATTTACTCAAAGTAGGTTCCATTTGACTCAACACAATGTTTGGAACGATCAACCAGCGCATGCATAAATTTTTTTATGTCATTTATAGAAATGTTCTTCAGTACCTCGGTTACGGCTGCTTGAATGGCTGAGATATCATCATAATTGCTCACTTCATATTGGTTTTCAGTTTTGGAATTAAAAAATAGTCACATGGTGATAGATCAGGCGAATACGGAGGATGGTCGATGAGAGAAATCCCTTTTTTCATTAAAAATTCAAGCGATTTTTTGTCGTCATTTAATTCATGTGGAACGAATCGCGCACAGACCTTTCTTTTCCCCAAATCTCCAGTTAAAATTCTCTAAATAGTGTTTTTACTCGTATTCAATTCCTCAGCCATCATTCCCGTAGTAAAATTTGCATCGATACCAATGATTTCACGGACTTTTTCCACCAGTTCAGCACGATTACTAGTTTCTGGACGTCCTGCTCTAGGGTAGTCATTTAAATCCTCACGACCATTTTTAAATCGTGTAAACCTCGTATAAACTTGCGTACGACTCATACAAACATCACAATAAACCTTTTTCATTAATTTTATTTTCAAGTTTGACACAATTTTCTCTTTGTTCCATTTTATTATTGAACCATTAGCACACTTTTGGTTTTATTGCAATGGCTGTCACTTTTACATCTGTCATCCGACTTACATGATGTTAGATGCGTTTGAAGAGGACTAATGTTGCAAATTTTCAATAGATGGCGCTGTATGTTGTATGATTTAAATATAAAGTTCGGTGCATATGGGAAAATTTTTGTCAACGCTGAATTCCTTCGCCATCAACAAGCATGACGAAAATGCATAAGAAAACGAAAAAAGAATGACGTACACTATACAAAAGTAAACATCACGTTTGTAATTTCAGCCTTGAATAAGTGATATGGGAAAATCGTCCCTGCAAGAACGGGCTGATGGATTCACCAATGCACTCACACGATTTCGGGCTGCACTAACACATATGCCCCTTTTTTTTTTGCTTATCTTTCTCTTCTGAGTACATACAAATTGAATAAGAATGCAGTTGAACGGATTATCCGATTTTCTTTGCTCTTATTTTCGAGTAGAACGCCATTTTTTATCGTTTTCTCCGCAGTAGATAGAATTGAAAAATCCTTGATCAGGATCCTGTACAAGCTATGGTGATTATATATTTTAGATTAATTAAGTACTTCATTGCTTTTAACATTTGTTTATTTAAGGGCGCTCCATGTCGTACGGAAATGGAGCAGTTTGACGGTAATGGACGCTTCTCATCTTGCTGCAGTAGCAGATTTAATAATATTAAATAAGATTTAAATGCTTACAATATTGTATTGTTGTATTGTTATTTCTTTTGTATGTTATGTTAACCATGCATTCCTGACATATGTTGGGCCTTCTTGCAGGGGAGCCTCCAAAACGCTGACCTTGATTGTCATATTGAATATGATGTCCTTCGACTTAATCCGCGAAATATTTTTTTCATATACTCGTCAGTATGTATGTATGTGTATATGTATATAATATTCCTTTAGTTGTTGCTTGCAAGCAAACTTGTAAAAAAAACGGCTTGACGACAATTATGAATATTTCGTCTGAAAATACTATTTTCTCCACCGGACAGTGGACAGTGGATCAAGGACTAACCTATTCTTAAAAATAGTACGCAAATTCTTTTTCTCTTGGTAGTGAACAGATCTATTTAAAACACGTATACATCAACGTATGCTTGAAATTCGCAGTCAGTGAGTAAACAAATTTATTTGATAATTAAATTTGCTAGATGAATATATGTATGTATGTAAACACAAACGTCATTGCATCTGAAGTGTATAATAACCTAAAAAACGCCACAATTATTCCAAACAAAAGTACCGTTATTAGCTCAAGGGCAATAAATGAGTAAAGTACTTTTTTTCCATGAAGCGAGATGCAAAAAGTTTGAAAATAGTTTCTGCATTCCTTGTCACCCAAATAAGTATAAAATCAACTGCACCGACTTCAAATTATTCAGTTCAAGTTCCAAGCTCCAAGTTCCAAGTTTAACTTTCCAACAATGTTGTTCGCACGACTATTCGTTTTCGTTGTTTTATTATCGGTTGCCAATGCCTTCTTTTTTCTGAGTCCTGTTAACTCCCCTTGTTCTCGCTGTAAGCAGACAAAAAAGGTAAAACGCGGACCTGTTAAGATTGTAATTAAAAGGCCAACCAGTAGCACAACAACCACGACAACTACAACAACAGAATCTTCATAATCAACAGCTTCAACAACCGAATGCCCAACAACACCGACAACCAGCAACCGAAGTTGTGAAAATTTTCGCAACCTCTTATTTTATTATTTTTATAACTAGATAAATATACTATATACATACATATATATCAATATAAATTAAGGTTATTAAATATTTATAAACGCTGAAATGATTTTTGACTTCTTTTAATTATTATGCGGTATTTTAAGTCATAAAGAGACTTTTGGAAGTGGGTATTCCAATTTTTTTAAATGGCTTTATTTCAAAAAAATACTGAACCGAATTCCTTGATACCTTTAATCTAATATGCATACATGTATGTATATATTTAAATTAAAAAAAATATAGGCGCTTTATTTACACAATATTGTTTAATGGTGTACAGGATCATATACATTCGAATGATTTTCCGTTATGTAAACTGATAATTTTATTTCATTCGTCTCTAATTTAACTTCTGAAACGAAAATTTCATCGTTTTTGTAAATTTGTTAATCTTTAACTAATTTAATCACGTCCGGAAGTCATTTTAGCTTGTCTAACCAAATTGTTTTTATTTAACTTGGTACTTTAAATAACAATATGGGACTCCAAAATTTACCGAATAACTTCAACAACAATTCAACTGCAATATAGAGAAATGTGTATTACACAGTGAGGTCAAGCATGTTGACCAGTCCTACATGAAATTTGAAAACCAAAAGATGTGCTTTACCAAATTAATGACATCAACGTACTTATTTGGCATGTACCTTTCAAATAAATAAATTATAAGTGTTCAATGATGATTACGACTTCGCTGCCCCATATTGGTAGAAATTTGTGAACTCTTAGAGTTTTCTTGTGCACCTTGTTATTAGAATACTTCCGTGTCTCAAGCAATATAAGATTGTATTTCTTTCACGCACAAACGTCTGCATAGTTTCGTTTTGTCAATATGGTAAAAAAAAACCTCCAATCATGGTTCCAATCGATATTTGCCATGAACATTCCTTATTTGTTTAGATACGTCAACTGCAATTGATAACAATTATTAATCATTTAAAACGCCTATGAGCAGCAATTCCTTCCTACCAAATTTGTTTGAAAATCATATAAAGTCCTTAATCTTTTCTCCCCAGCTGTAAAAGATAATATTCGCCGATTCTTTTCATGTCATAAACCGATATAATAAACTTTAATCTATTTAAACAATATTGCAAATTAGAATTAATTCCCAATTCAGTTTACAAAATGTTCAGTTTCCATCGGCAACAAATTTAACAGCTGATGAAATGAAAGAAAACGAATCAATTAACAACTCTGGATATTAAATTCGCCTGTTTAAAATAAACACAGCTACGAGCTCAAATTATGAACGAAAGCTTCGAATTAAATAAAAACTTCGATTTATTCAAACATTCTTCATTGTAATTATACACTTAATTTAAAAGATTTATAAATCTATTTGGAAAAAATAATATATATAGCATACAAGTTTTATTTCTTTTCATAATTCCTCTTAAATGCTTTATTATTAGTAGTAACTTACAAACAAACATTCCTTAACCTAAAACAACACATATCTAATTCCATACATCCAATTCAAGCATTTCGAACAGCTGTTTGAATTATTGCTTAAAACAAATAAACACAGCCGGTCTGAATGTCAGTAAAATATCTACCACTTTTATGAAATGTTAACAATCAAGGAAATTAGTTGATTGATTGATGAATATTGAAAAAATTTGAACATTAAACGCATTAGGAAGTCATTACACTAATGTAATTTTGTTTTTATTAATGGACTATATGCATGTATGTAAGTGCAAACAATCGTAAATGTATTCAGATGAGCAATGCTTTTCACTTTTAGGAAAATCAATGTATGTAATCGTGCAGTTGTATTCCTTCACTCCCTTCGCCGCCACCAGCATACACGTAAGTGTTATTATCTTCTTCCAGATTAAGTAAGGTTTCCTCAGCTATTTGTTCTGTGACTACGTTCTCTTCCATTATTTCATCCTGCTCATATTCCGTCGGAATTGCAGCCGCTGCAGCATTGACTGACGATTTAATATTAAAACGACGACCTAAATTCCCAAGGCAACCCTCAAAAAGAATTTCGGCAATTGCCTTGCGTGCATATATTCTCTGCTCTTGTGACATTTCTTCATATTGTATAGCCCAGGATTTAGCTAATATCTCGGTGGATTCACTGATACCTTGAGTCGGTCGATACGTTTCACTGTTCCCACTATGACTGGACTCTGCATTAAATGTTTTGGGTTGTGGCTTTTTAGACTTCTTAGTTGTCATGAGTCGCTCTGAAAGCTCCGGTGAGGTATAATCTATTGGATCGGGAAACGAGTCTTTGCTACATATTTCAACAGTTTTAATATCTTCTAGCACATCATCTTGCGCATGTGATGAGTCCTCGATATTAATGATTTCATGAAATGCATTAGCGTCTTCTTCCTCTTCTTTTGTCGGTGTATTCTCCTGCTTTTGTTTATTTGAAAAAGTGATTGCTTGAAAATGATTCTGATACTGCTGTTGAAATGAATGCTCATCTAAATACTGAACAGCTTCCAGGCGTTCCTCTGTCTCATTACAATTATCCGATACATAATCATATTTATTGAGCTGGTCCTTATATTCACTGGAATTGTCTTGAAACGTATGAGGTGAATTTGAGAGTTGTGATCTAGTCGTTTCATTGTCTGTTTGTCCTGACACAACTTTACTCGGCATACGACGCTGTAATACAATTATAATAAGTATTTTTTATTAAAAATATGTTAATAAACTTTATTCCATTACCAAAATCTTCTTTTCACCATCCGGAAAACGTTTACGTTCTTTACGAAATTCGACACTCTGCAAAAAGTTCAACATATGAAAGTACCAAAGGGATGTGCTATAGTGTTTGCCCTGTTCGTTACTCGTTTTAATACGAGAGCATTCGCGGCGATAATTGGTACGAAATATATTAATTTTACGTAACACATCATCCCGGCAAGCACGCGGATTGATTTCACGCATTTTCATAACCAACATGTCATAGCCATTCGCCTTACTTTGACGATCTTTATATGCCGGGTCAGTTAAATCCCACAAAGCCGGCAAACTCTCGTATAACGCAAAAAATTCTGTCCAGAATGCACGTTTTCCAACGGTATGTGCATGTTGGCGGGTATTCGCCATTTTCTTTTTTTTGTTCTTTCAGCTTGAAACGGATTTATGTTTACTAACCTCAAAACAACAACAAAAAAACCCGTAAATCACAAGCGAAAGCGCGTAAGCTTCAATCACATAAAAATCTGCTTGTCCGTTCGGCTTGAACGCTCAACAACAACTGAATCAAGCATATGCTTTTTTTTTGTTTCATTTGCTCTCTTTAAAATTTTTCTCTTTCGACTGCTCAGTTTTTGTTTATTTGCGTATATATGTATACATACATATGTTTGTTCGAGCGTTGTGCGAATTGTATTGAGGCGCATAGGTACAAAGTAAATATGTATATTTACGCATTTAAATATGTATATATGTATGTATATGAGTGCAAGTACATATGTACATAAATATGTATGCCGCGATTCATAATCGCTTAACTCAAGTTAACTCAAGTTAAGGCGAACTTCAATTTTCACCTGCATCCTCATTTACCTAAATATGCACATGTGTACGCGTATATGCACATATTTACTGCTTTTAGGATTCAAATTATTGCATGAAAATGTTCTCTTGAAGAAGTCAAAAAATGGGCCTGGGCGGTTATTATTTGCGATCATATGTATGTATGTACACATGTATGTATATTTGAAGCCAATTTGAGCGGAATAAAATGTGACACAAATGTAAGATTGGCTTAATGTACTACAGAACTTTTTTTTTAATTATGCTTACTGATTGTGATTTAAAGATTATAACCATAATCACTAAGCATTCAGTTTGATATTTCAGGAATAATTTTAAACGTAATTGAAAAAAGAACGCCTACATTATTGCTATCTATGCATGTACATATACATATATGTATGTATACTATGTAACATCGTAATAGTTTTTCCTCGTTTGCGCGTGACCTTCAGCAATAAATTTTTAAATTTTAAGACTCTCTGTGTGGGGATGTACATACATACATATATAAATACAATATTCATATGTATGTACATATGTTTGTTTGTATGCACATATGGAACAAACGATGTTGACATCCCAAATTTGAAACATCGTTTCGAGGTTGTTGTTGTTGTGCAAAGGTTTTACACAAGAATTTTTGCATTGCATTCTTGCGCGCTGGACACAACGCTTAACAGTCAGATTGATAAGATTTAGTATTTATGTGTGCATATGTTTATAAATCAAGGAGTGAAGAACCAAGGCCACCTTGCCGTCCTTTTACATTTAAGAAGGATCAGCTGTTGTATTTTGAACTAAATATCCATGGATTTTCGAATGTATTACTGTAGTAAGGACCAACGAAAACGAGTGAATTTTCAATGAAGTACTCAACCTGAGCAATCCTACCTACCAGTAATGCATATACATATGTATGTAGATATGTATTTATGACAGATCATTACCGGCTGAAATGCAGGCCCCGTACCCCTCGGCATGTGTATGTTAATTTGCAAATACGAATATGCAATTACGCATGCAATTCTATACACATATATATGTATGTATATATGTACATGTACATATGTATGGATATAATATGTTTATGCAATTAACCATACACATGTGCAAACAACCTTTAGCATGTGTGCATATTTTTTTACTATAGTTCGACAACAAAGCTAGCTTGTGTATATTGTACATTGGGACCGAGCAGGTACCTGGCGCTGCCCCGGCTCTTAAAAGGCCTTATTTCACTCAGCTGCTCGTTTCATATTCGGAACCTCTGTATTAATGTTCTACATACATATAGCCATTCGCTTAGCTGCCTCGCCTGGTCGAGCTCTACACCCGAGGTTCGGGCTCACTCAGTTGTCTCTTTCAATGTGAACACTCCATACAAGTCTTATTTTCAGTCTCGTATTCAGTGTTTGTCACGCGCTCTTCGGTGTCGGCATTACAGCTAGGTAGGTGCATATGAGTTTTGCGATTTTTGGAGCTTGTTCGGTCTGTTTTCTCGTACGTTACACTCAGTCGCTTGTCGGGTTCCTTGTAAATTTCACGTGCGTGGTCTCGTTTTGCAACAGTTTGCCGGGCTGTTTCACTTGAGCTTCATTTTATATTGCTGTGTACGTGTGTGTGCGTGTGTGTGCGTGTGTGCGTGTGTGTATGTAATCTTTTTTGTTATTATCGTTTGAGTTTGTGACTTTGCAAAAGCAAAAATTGTCAGACGAAAAGCATTTAAAAGCACACAAATTATACATACATGTGCATGCATGAATACACACATATGTACATACGTATGTATATACATAGGTATGTATATACATTTGTGGGTTATGTACTTTGACTTGCTTGATTGGCGGTTGCCTGCCTTTGGGAGAGAACTTTTGCTCTGTTATTATTATTATCATTTTGTTGTACTCGCGTTTATTCTGCTTTTTATATACATACATATGTATTTATTATTTTCTTTGTTTTTATGCTTGTTCATAAAGATTTGTATAGTTGGAGCTGAGAGTTTGGACGAATAAAATCTGTACTTAAACAACAGCAGACCTCACTTGTCTTGCCAACCGGCCTTGGGGTCGCAATATTGGAGACCTATATGAAAAATGTAAGTATTCATGCATTCATATATGTATGGGTGAATGTAAATATATAATATATAGTAATATATGTATGTATGTATGTATTTACACTAGTCGACATAATTATTTTGACGAAATTTTATTTGTAAATATCTGAACGTGTTCTAAATAGAACCGTTGAGTAACGTTGCCAATGTGAATGAATGGTTTTATTCGGTGACCTGCTGGGCAGTAACAGGGGTTAGCCATACAAAAAACCAGTAAAATTTGAACGGAGATAGTGTTGTTGTGGCACTTCGTTAATTGGTAATTCTTTGTGACATCTCTCACCGAACAGCGCCAATGTGAATATCAAAATAAAGAAAACAAAAACCAAAAAAACATATTTACAGTTGTGATTTTTGGTTTGCATCTGCTGATGAGAGTGTGGACAGACAACATACATGCATACACATATTATTTCCTTAAGAGTTGGTATTTTGACGAAATCCTTGTGGTATATATTTTTCTATTTTGGTTTGAATAATATCGAATTGGCATCGAAAATAAAATAAAATATTGTTAATTATGTTATAATTGAACATAAAAAAACGGCAATGTTAATATTTTTCGTTAATAGCTTTAATAGTTTCTTTTACAAACAAAAAAAAAAGTTAAATAATGTTTTATTTTTATATGTATGTATTTAGTCCCCGGCCAGTATTACAGTTCTTTGTTCAAAGTCTAAGAAATAACATATACACACATACATATGTATATATTAGGTCTACCGGAAAGTTCTGTCCGAATCTCTGACATCATTTTCGCCACGTAAGCACATGTTTATTTATGGCATGTTCAGCTCTATATTTTTATCGCTCAATATATACAGACTGATGTAGCAAGTGGACTATAATAAAGTTGATTCACATTAGTCTTAGGTGTGACACGATAGTATACCCATGGCGGCGGTTAAAATTCATTTACGCCACTATATTTTATATGAATTTCAACAAGGCAGAAGCGCACCAGAAGCATGTAGAAATTTATTGAAAATGTTTGGTGAAGGTACAGTTTCTGATAGGACATGCAGGAGATGGTACGAAAAATTTGAAACGGGTGATTTCGATCTTTCTGATAAGCCACGTTCTGGGCGACCAAGTTTAATCGACGACAATGTTGTTAAGGCAATATTGGAGCAAGAACCTTCTCTGACAACATCGGAGATCTCAAACAGGCTTAATTCAGCTCAACAAACCGTTTCCGATCACATTCGGAAGTTAGGATTGGCGGTAAGAAAAAATTTGTATTTGTTTTATTCCGAAAACGGACAGAACTTTTCGGTAGACCTAATAGACATATGTACATACATACATACATATATGTACGAGCATATGTATGCATGCTTATGTAAACAAATAAAGCCAAGTCTCTGGTAACGCTTGCAGATACTAGGAAAAGTACCTGCGAAATGACGCGGACCCAACATTTCAGCTGTAAAAATGAGCCAAATTTTTATTTAAAATTATATATACGTATCTAGTTAATATTTTAATATAGTGAAAAAATTAATATTTTTTAGTTTGTTTTTATTTTTAATTTTTTTATTTCTGTTTCTATTTTATTTTTTTTTTATTTTTAGATGGATGACTCAATAGGTGTGCGAAAATACGCGCTAAAGGAAAGAGAAAGTAAAAATTACAATATTGAAAAGTTATGCGACGAACAAATTCCACTCAAGACATTGCGATTGAGCAAGGGAAAACCGAAGTTGCCCACAAAACAAATTAAGCCGAGCGTGAAAAATATTGTCGCTGTAAGAATTCTATTTGTTTTTTTCTTTATTGTAATTAAAGTTGAAAACAGCATGAACGTAACGCGCCAAAGGACAGCGACATGCATATTTTCATCGGTGCCACACATAAATATTTTAGCTTCTGCGAAAATTAGTTTATTCATAGTTGTTGTCTTTTAAATCTACGTGCTCTATGTTTTCAATTATGCATATGAATGTGTATGTCGGTATATTAGTGCAAATAGAAAAAAATTTACTGATGCTTTTTGAAAATTTTACATTCCGTGCAGTATTGGCAACGCTGTGTCTGTTCATTGCAGCTTGTAGAAATAGATCTAGATTTGACCACAGCTACGTACATTTCGTATTTCGGTGTTTATGTAGCCGTGTAGTCGCCATTTCGTGTAGACCATGGCGTTCATTCTGCTTTCGACTTAAGTATTCACATCTGTATTTGGAAAGAGTAGTTCTGTTCGGCGACCTGATGGGAAGTAACAATTGTTATTGAAATTTACTGAACCGGGTTCGGTGGGGAAAATAGTCAATAAAATTTGCACCGAGAAAGCACAATTTTGACATTTAGTTCGGAGAGAACTGGAAAATTTCGGCCCGTAAACACCAGCAAGTATAAAAACAGCTGATTTGTGTTTATTAAGGCGGTAGTCTGATTTATATATGTATATGTAATTGGCGTTTTGTAACCGCTGAAGCGGTTTTTGACTGAGCTGCTTCTCCATTTTTGGTTTTACATCTTGATGTTGACGAATGAAGTGACTTACAGTTTATACTAAGCCAACTCCGAACGGCTGATAAATTTTTTCTGAGGAGCTTAATTTAGAGGCTACAAAACATGCATTTTTTCTTAAATCTATTCTAAAACTATCCGAGAATACGTCTTCAAAATTTCTGCGACCAATTCGATATATTTTAGAAGCTAGAGCAGTTTTAGTGGCCGAGCATCGAGCAGGTTCTTATACACGCGCAGAACTTTGAAGGGGGTTTCTTGAGTTTTAATTTTTACAAGTAGAAAACGGTGCCGATGGTAGCGAAAATAAATTGATCTCGCTGCAGTATTAAATTATCTTCTATTTCAAATAAAAAGTGGGACAAAAGTGTTATTTAAAATATTTTTTTCAATTTGAAATAATTAAAAAAAAAAATTTCCAACTTCTTCGGTATTTTTTTAGTTCATATAGAAGAGACACTCATTAGAATTAAAAAAAGTCGACTTTTGTATCGCACGACCTCCATCACCGGCACCGTTTACGACTGCAGACAGCAGCAGCTTCAGAAAAATCATCACAAAATTGAAAAATTTCTAATTTTTTTTTTTAAATAAAAACTGGTTTTTGAGGCCCAAATATAGTAATAGTAATAGTTATTGTCTAAAATTTTCGTTTACCGCAAAAATTTCCTTCCCTTTCAATAAATTAATAAAAAAAATCGCTTTTTTTTTGGTTCTCCTTTAAGCTTCCGGAAGCGACGAAGATGCACAAAATGGAATATTGATCGCTTTTAAAATGGGAAATAAAGCTCTTGCTTGGATTTTATTTCAATAGAACCGGAAATATTCTATTATAATTTTCAGTTAATACTGCCAGCTTACACGGCAAAATAATTCCAAACTCATTTTCGTACTTCAAACATCTTTCTTGAAAATCTAAAATCTAAGCGACCAATTATTGCAAAAAAAAGTTTCTCATAAATCTTTATCTAAAAAGCGTGCACTATTGCAATACAAAAAAATTTGAATGAAATTAATTAATATAAAACGCCATCGGTATATAAATGAACGGATTCAAATTTAACGCCAAAATAATCAGCTGTTGCACGATTTGCTGGCTAATTTTTGCTGAATCCTGTTCAATAAAAACGCTTTCTTTGGGAGAATAAGCCAATCTCTCTCAATTTCGTTACAGACTAATTTTTACTGACATTTCTCATCGAGCAAAGCTATTTTCAAGACGCAAAGTTCTTGCAGACTCGATAAGAGGGATTCCTGCATGGAAAGGTGAAGAGAGAGAAGAGAATTCAATTCAATTTAACATACCGCTATATACTTGGCTATATTTCTCAGGCAATCTATCTCAAAACGTTCTTTGAGTGTGATGAGAAAATATTTTTTCTTTCTCTGCATACGGAAATATCGAGGGTTTTATTTAAATATTTTACGGAGGTATTTTGAAAATGCCAATGGAAAGAGAACTTCTCACGATTTTACGGCGAAAGCTCCATACGTTTAATTTATTTTTATTTTTTATGTTACATAGAAAAAGAATACTGTGAAATGTTTTTATCCGAAAATATTACGCAAATCTTGATAATCTTTTTAATTTTTTTTTTTTCATTTTCAGCCCACACGCTATGAGCGCGAACGCGCTGCATTTAAAAACCGGCCGCGAAAGGTGCTGAACTTGGAGGAGCGCGTACTGGCGATACGTTTATATCAGGAGACTCCCGTCTATCAGCGTATAGCTTCTATTTTCAAATGCAGTTGGGAGCAGATACGCAATGTTATCGCCAATCGTGACGACATTCTCCGCTATTATGGCGAATGCCAAACTGTCACACCGAAGGACTCGGCACAATATGCACGCAATAAAAAGATCAATTTCCTCGGCAATATCACATATGAATTTGTACGACGTGCATACTACCATCGTGACTTGGTACTCAACGATGACATACTGAGGCAGCGTGCGATTAAATTGCGCGACATACTCAAAATTGAACAATTCCATCCGAATAATGCTTGGTTGAATGATTTCAAAAAGGTCTACAATGTCGATTGGGATAATTTGGATGCAATGATCATATGTGGCATACCGCCACGTTCGCTGGAGAATAAAGATTTAATCGAATACTGTACACGTATGGTGGCCAAAGCTAAGGCGCTAATTGGAAAGATGCCCAAACAGTTGGCCAAGAAGGAGGGCGCCAAAGATTGCGAAACGGATGATGACATTTACAATGATGAGGCTAGTGGCAGCATAGATGATAATGAGTCTGACTCTATGTTAGCCAATAAATACGATGATGTGACAGTTGTCAACGAAGTAGATGACTTTACTGGCATGTATGTGGACGCGTCCGATATTCATGAAAACGAGGAGGAGCCCAGCATCAGTTACGCCGATTACGATTGCAATGAAGAGATGCTAAACTTGAATGCCATTGATGGCGAGCCAAATGAAACAACAAACGAACAAATAACAAACGAATCTTTCCTTGGGGATGTCCAGATAAAACAAGAACGCCGTAGTCGTAGTAGAAGCCCGCCATTATTATCGCCATTGACCGTGACGAGTAGCGCGAGTACGTATGGCACAGAGGCGGCGGCTGGTAGTGGAAAATGTTTAAAACGCAAGGCAATTGATACACCACCAACAACGCCCTCGTCAGCGTTGGGTGTGAAGTTTGTGAAGAGAGAACCGTTAAGCAGCTATAAGGAAGCCTTGCGAGTTTTGCAACCTTTAGAAGATTTTGCATTGCTGAAGGAAGATTTTCACGTATTAAATTTATTGCAGCAACTGACGCTTGTATTGGAGAAAGGCGCCAAACGACTAAATGCTAAGAATTAAGTAGAAATACATATCCATACATATGTACAAAAGCCAGAATAAACTTAAGTAAACAATTCAAATATGTGTGTGTGTATGTGTGCGCATATATGTAAACAATTTAGATGTATCCCCTCTGAGTATGCACTCAGCATTAATTTATGGAATATTTGATTTATATTAATAATGTTAAACAAAGCAGAATATTTTTAATTTCCACGCATACATGGATGTACTGTTCATTAGTATATGTATGTATGTATGTATGTATGTATGTATGTTAAATGATTAATTCTCGAGATATTGAATATCAATGATCGACACACAACCAAACCCCATACTTACTTGTCACTTCAATCTCGGTATTTCATGGATGGTTTGTCGTAGTTATTCTGGTTTATACGGTTTAAATACTCATATATGTATACGTAGGTACGTATTTCTGAAAGTTCAAATCCACACAGGGTGACACAACAGGGTGACCAGATAACAGCGGAAGGACTTGAGCAAACTAAGCTACTGCTGTTTTTGTTTTGGAGTAGTGAGCGTAGTATGGGGCTTTCCAGCGAATGAAGTGGTTATGGTTGCCACTTGAAAGACCAGAGTTCGAGTCACAGACCGAAAATTCTCTAGAACAATTTTTTCTAAGTAGTCGCTCTGCGGCCGCGGTAGCTCAAGTTTAAATACCAAATATTATATTATTTAAATAAAAAATTAAGTTAAACTTTCTAATTGCGGTCGGCTCACGGCAGGGAATGTCAAGCCCTCGGAGTGTATTTCTGACATGAAATGAAGGCTCCTTATAAAAAAACTATCAGCCGTTCGGAGCCACTTAGAATAAACTGTAGGTCTCTCCATTTGTTGGAGCAAAACCACAAATTGAAGGAGGAGCTCGGCCGAAAATCGCTCCAGTGGTTAAAAGAGCGTCAATTATATATAAAATTACACATATAGTCGCTCCTCGGCAGAGAATCTGGACCACTCCGAGTGTATTTCTGGCATTAAATAAAAGGTCCTTATTAAAATCTATCAGCCATACGAAGGCGGCTTAGTCGCTTCATTTGTTGGACAAATATTAAGAAGACACACACACCGCAAATTGGACAAGGAGTTCGACCGAAAATCGCTTCAGGGCTAATTAATTACCTAATTTCCTCTATCATAAATTGGTTGATCTTAACATGAAATACTTTTGAACACTTTTTGTAGCGCCAAGAAAAAATTATCAGAGATCTTCAGCTGCATTAATACGATTTCCAAATTTTTAGTCGCAAAAAATGTATTCGGGAGTCTTCCACGGAACGGTTCCTAATAATATCGAATTCCAAAGACCTTTCTGAATTTAACAACAGAAATGTATGGAAACTTAGAGCTCAGTTGTGTTAGATTAAGCTCCTCGGATTTTTTTTATTTGTTTTCCAAAGTCAACTTCAAGTCGAACAAAGAAAATTTTAAAATTGCCCACGCCTTTCTTCCTTTCGCCCTCTGGTCTGCTTATTTATACTTCGAGAAGACTAATAGTTCTTTGTTGCTGTTGTTGTTATAGCGGCTACCTAACCTCGCTTAGGAGCATGTAAGATTAATTTGAGTCATCAAGATCATCTGCTGGGAGGTACAGGAAGCGAGCTGTTGAGGTGTTTCGCCGGGTTCGGAGCAGAGGGAAAGTGGGGTTAGACGAGTAGATTAAAGAGCGGTTAGCTGTCATGTGGGGTCTTATTGCATGCAGAACATACGTACCCGACGGGCCAAATCTGGATAGGAATATAATATCTAAATCTTAATTGTACCAGCAGTACTGGGTTCTATCGCTGGGTAGCTCAAGCTCTTCGTCTGAAATGGTTAGTGATTGGATTCCAAGATCGCCGTTCTTTGGAAGAGCATTCAAGAAAGTGTTTTGTAGACCCTCGATGAATGGCTTTATAGCATATCCTGTCCAGCGGTTCTTGTGCTGCTCAATGGACTCCGTGTAGCCGAGAAACCCCTCCCTAATGTGCGTAGGTGGTAGCTCATCATATAAGTATTAAGCTCTCTAACGTTTAGTATAAATGTTTCGTCATGCAAGTGATTCTCCTCACGACATAAGAGCGTTTCCTGACATAGTGTAAGAGCGATGTTATGAAATGCTTGTATCTTCTTCATTTGATTATCGCTAATCGCCAGCGTCCAAGTCGAAGCAGCGTTTTTACCGGCCGTCCAGCCAATTGACTTTTATGTTGTTTGCCTTTCCCCAGCTGCCGACGGCTATCGCTTTGATGATTTTGTTACGATGAAAGGGATACAGAAGATTTCTCTAGTCTAGTCTTTTTCATTACTACAAGAACGCCCTATATACATACATACGTAGAAATGCATTACTTACTGATTGACTAGCCCAAGTTGGGCGGTGTTGTTGGCGTGTTTTGCATGTTTGTTCTAAATATAATTACCCGATTCTTTTTTTTAGCGACATTTCAATGCAGTCACACTTCAATCAGACGGTGAGAGAGCATTTTCGCTGACGAGTAGGTTTTCCAAGCAGCGGAGAGTTGTTGTGAGTCAAAAGCTAAATGTGCGCAAATGTGAAAATTCATATATAAATATGTACATATATATGTATGTAAATATATATATATACATGTATCTAGGAATAAAACTGCACACTAGTCATAGGTACATACATACACACATATGCATGTATATATGTATGCACATACATATATGCAATACTAGTCATCAGCGGTAGCAGGCGCTTTAGCTCAGTGGGCAGACATGCGCATTGGCGTTCAGGGTCTGCTAAATAGAAATATTGATATGTATGTATGTATGATTTTGAATACGAGAATATTTAAGTTAATACGAATATACATACCATATATATCTATGTACATATGTATGTATATATGGGCTGTGTATTTACATATTTATTTATATGCAGTGCGATGTAGACGTTGTCCGTAATTGCCAGCGCAGTCATAGTGCTTTTGTGATTATTCAAATTGAGAAAATAATGCGCCATATAAAATTTGCATACATACATACATTCATATGTACAAAATTGCTAGTGTAAGAAAAATATTGGAAAAGCACATGTTTTATCGTTCAAGAATCTTCTCAAAACGGGAACAATGATTAATGTTTTATTGACAGAAACAAATACAAAACTGACATAGACAGAGACCACGAGACCAAAACGAGGTCTGGGCCCTACTCATGTATATATGTAAATATGTAAACCTGCATTAACGTTGACTCATATCCACCTAAGTGCGGCCAGTTAGTATGTATGGAAAGGGAGATGAAAACCTTCAAGGGATCGATAGCCGTAACACGTCCTAGCTTCTCTAAATATTCTTCCTCTCTTAAAACTTGATAGATTAATACCACCACCAATTCTAACGAAGAACTTAATATTCTTATGGATATATTATTACCCCTGGATTATCATCACCGCAAATTCGGTAAAATGGTTGAGTGCAGAGCACGTATGGAAGATCATGAAACGCCGGAAATATTCTTTTGGTGAATATTCGGTCTTCAGCCTATTGAGACGACACCTCTTTCACATTGCTTCCAATTCCAGCTTTACGGAAGTCGACATAATTTATAAAATCGAACGAAATATTCGCATACACATACGTTGGGGATCACAAATGAGCTATGGGTGCGGCCGATTGCTGTCAACCAACATACCAATCCTAAGGAGGAAAACAAATCACCTGACAATCATTTGGCGGCAATCTGGTCACCGAAAAGCGCATATGGTCATATTGTAGGACTTTTCGTTTGAATGATCGCGCTTTGCGCAAGTGAGAAGTTCTCTTCAGTTTAACAACCTTCTGTAGAGACCAGCGTCTTCTTGTTCATTGACGTTGGCACCACTTACGCGATTATAGCCGAATAAATCATAGCGCGTCATTCCTCTCTACTTTTCGCTACCTGGGGACAGTTGGAAGAACCATGTGAAGCCAGGTCACTCTCCACCTGATCCTTCCAACGGAGTAAAGGTCTTTCTCTTCCTCCGCTTCCACCAACGGGTACTGATTTCATCCATCCGGTTTGGTTTGTGGGTTTCTTGAGAAAGCAAGCCCTTCATCTGCTCCGATCGAAACGTATATTTGTCAATACAGTCAGCCGGAGCGTCAGATTTATTGTGCTTTTATTTCCTTTTTACAATTTTCGTCTTATAATTCTTACTGGTAAATACTTTTGAATGGCAGCGACAGATCGTGAACACCTTCTTGAGCTCTCTTCCAGTGAATAGCGTTCTCGGAGTCAACACATCACCCATTGCAGACGAAGAACTCGATCTGCCTCGAGCGACCCGCGTAATACTCTATTGGAATTAGGATGTGAAGTCTGCAGGCAACTAAATTCCTTCCTATCATGCATGCAAGGAGGTGGTTAGTGTCGTGCGGGAACTCATTGGTCTACCGTTAGATGAGCTCCATGACTTATTTTGATCTTATCTGCTCCTAAGCGGAGTTAGACTTGCCACTGCAACAACAATAACCATAGCAACGGTTTGTAATGCTCGATACAGAAGTGCGTCTTTCGTGAATTGCTTTCATTGGCTTAACTCCTTGTGTCGAAGGACAGCAGTCTGCTATTGAGATGTTGAGAAGATGTTTAGGGCCACATTTGTGAGAGCCTTGCGTGCTCTATGCATGCTGATCAGCTCGGATCTTTGTAGTTTCTCAATCACAAGAAAAAAGGTGCTTACAAATGTAATTTTATTAAATTGTTTTTAATTAGATAAACTGAAAACATGTGCATACATATACATAATGTAAAATATTAAATTAATTTACATTTCATTTAAAAAAAATTAATTTATATTAATTCAAAAGTTCCTATTAAAAAAAAAACGGTTCTAATTAGAAGTATATATATTTATACAAAAATCAAGTTGTATGTAATTCAAATTAGAAATACATATGTACAATACATATGCATGAGTGATGGCTTCAACCAATAAAGTAATTATGTCATTTACTCACTTCATTTACAAACTATGGCAACAATTACCGGCTTTGGTATTCATAGAAAAAGCTTATAGTTATATACTTATAATAAATATGTACGCTTCTAAGTATTAAACACTAGAATATCATCATATAAATCACCCCCAACCCCTCAATCCACATCCACATCATCGTCGCCGTCCAACTCCCGCAACACTTCATCGGCACGCGTGATCAGGCCGATCAGTCTAAAGTTCTCTTTAACCAAAGCAAAATCTTCCAGCAGCTTTAGGTATTTACGCGCCTCCGAGCATGACTTAATAGGCGGCAACTGTGGCGTATTGCTTGTGGTATGCTTTCGCTTGTTGGCCAAACGATTGATAACAGCCTCTGGTGCCTTAGTTAGTGGCGGCAAAGGTGGAGTGAAGCATAGTGCTCTATTCATGGCGGTTATATTGGCGGCAGGTATACAAGTAATGGCATTTGTTGACGCTGGTAAACTTTGGCGTTCGACGGACGTAGGTTTGCTGAGTGGTAATCTTATGGGTGTAAATATGGGTTTCGGTTCCAAGGGTGGTATCGCAGACATCGTCGTAGTTGCCGTGTTGCCGCGCATAACTGTCGCTGATGAGGACGACTGCGCGGAGGTGGCAACAATTTTACCCTGAGTCTGTATGAGGCGACGCAAATTGGCTAAAGCTATATTTTCATCATCAGCTGATTCAGGCGCAGTGATGCTGTTATCAATGTCCGAGCTGTTGTTTGAGGATGTTTCGACATCGGAAAGGAATACATTATTGCCTTTTTTATTATTCGTTCTCGCGTTTTGCTGTGTGGCCGCAGTTGTTGGGGTAGTGGTTTGATTTGGTTGCTTTTGCTGCTGTGGTGGCTGCACTTTCTCAACAACGACATCCTCCTCGTCATCTGATATATATTCCTGTTTAATTTCCATTGGCTCTTGTTTAACTTCCTTTTTGATATCCAACATGGGTGGCGGTACGGTAGATTTCTCTGCCTCGGAGACAGGTGTGGCGGCAGTGGCTGTTGCCGTGGCTAGCGCAGCAGTTAGCGCCTGGGTGGCGAGCGCTGGAGCTACCGCTGGTGCTGTAGCTGCAGCGGCGGCTGTTACTGCTGTTGAGACTGCAACTGCTTGCATGCCTTGCGATTGTGCTATTGTCGCTAGCGGTATGATTGTCATTGTCATTGGCTTGGAACCAGACATTTGCCCGGCGGGAGTTATGGGCGTGGCAACTAGCACTTTCTGCGGCATACCTGCGACGTTACCTTGTAGTGGTAATGCGACGAGTTGACGTAGAGGTGCTAACTGTGGCGTTGCCAAGTTGTTAAGCGCTGGTTGAAGGCCGCTTCTATTTTGAAGGCCGTGAGTTGAATTACTATGCGACAATCCTGCGTTGTTGCGATTTACAATCGTATTTCCGGTTGCGCTTAGTGCTCCTCTTGGTGTCTGCGCTTTGTTGTTGGAAGTACCACTGCTCGTGGCGTTGCTAGCTTTTAAGCGCCTACGTTTTGCCGCCACTTCTCCGTTACCCTCTGTGTTGCGCTCATTTTCCCCATCTTCACATTCGTCCTTGATCTCTTCAACATCATCATCACCATCATCATCATCATCATCAGATTCGCCTTCCTCCTCTTCCGGCGTACACTCGTTGAGCACATCCTTCATAACATCCTTAATCTGGACGGAATAGCCTTGCGTATAGCCGATCTTCAGTAATTTACTATCCGTTGTATGGATCTTATATGTTTGCCGGAATTTATCACACCAATCTTGATGAGGAAAAAAATTCTGCAAACCCATTGCACTTTTAAATTGCAACGCTGTCTTCTGTATCAGCCCATCAGTGATTTGTATGTCCTGGTAGTAAATCATGCGACGCAGCCAATCAAATACCGCCTTGCCCAACATCGATACCCGCACCACTTTCATCTCGAGCGTTTTGGCATCATGGCAGCGACGCGTACGTTGCTCCCAAGCCTCGAGTATACTATCTTTCTGCTGAACTATGCGTTTGATCTGATCGGGACTGCAGTGGAAGATGCGTCCGACACGCTTGTACACCGGCGATTTCTCGTACTCGCGTATTGCTGCCACCTTCTCGTTGAGCGCCAATACATTCTTGCGGCGTATGCGCGTGTCGTAGAGCACCTTTTCATGAAACGGCTGTGTATGAGCCGGTGGGGGGTTCTGTAAGGCAGAGAGAAGAGAGTGAGTGGGAGTGTGAGTGCAAGTGAATATTTAGTCGTTTGCGAGAGCTGTTTGATGAAGTAAAGAAAAATTTAATATTTGTATGGATATACTTGTGTAAGTGCATGTGTAATAGATACGTATGCATATAAGATAATGGTTTCATTAACTTTTGCGCTGGTATGCTCATATATATGTGCATATGTAGACATATATGTATGTCTCTTATTGATATAATTGGCACATTATAACCGATGAAGCGATTTTCGCGCAAGCTACTCCTCCAATTTGCTGTCTTGATGTTTACCAACAAATGGAGAGACCTATGGTTTAGTCTGGGCCGCTTGCGAACGGTTCATGGTCATGGGGAGCTTTGAGTCCCATATCGAAAGTACACTCAAAGAGCTTGACATTCTCTGCCGAGGGGTGATCGCGGGTACATAAACTGTTTGAGTTTTCTATATTTTTGGACGTTGATCGAACTTAGATCCGAACACTGGCCTTCATAATGGCAGTACGTAATGCTAGCCACTGAGCTTGTTTGCCCAGACCTGAAAAACATAAAATTACCCGAAGGATTTGTGTTGAAGACCGCGATCAAAACTCTTTCATTTTTACTCGATTTTCAATTTACATAGAATCCTTCAAAGACACTGCTTCATGAAGATAATAAAGGTCGATGCAAGCGCCTTTCGCCATACGCCATACGACGTAAATTATTGTCCGACTGATGCTCGCATTGAAGAAACACAGACACATACATACATACATATGTACAATCAAATTCAAATTGAACACTTACATTTTCAGACTTATGCGTATCGATAGCCTCCTCGTCGTGAACATCATCGTCGCCTTCTTCGTCCAACTCCTCCGTTTCGTTCGCTTTCTTATCGGTCACCTTCTCGCGCTGCTTTACTTTCATCGCTTCTACGCTATTTTGTGCTAAGGGACTTGTTGTTGTATTGTTGTCGCTTTTATTATTATTATTGTTGTTGTTATTATTACTATTGTTGTCAATACCATTCAGATTTTGAATATTCGGCCGTTGCTGTGGCTGTTGTGTCGATTCTTGCTCAGGCCTTTGTTGCAATTGCTGTTGCTGTTGCTGCTGTTGCTGCTGCTGCTGCTGCTGAGCGCCGCTACCGTTACTTGCACTGCGCACACGGAGGTGTCTTCTTTTACCGCGCGACAATAAATTTCGCAAACTTCGCAATTTTTTCGGACCCAACATGGACGATGCCGCACCCGTTCTTATGGCAGCTTTAGTGGTCGTCACCGATGACGCTAAGTGCACGGGTAGGCGCACGCGTCGTCCGACGCGACTGGTTGTTATAGTGGTAGTGGTGGTGTTGGTGATGTTTGTACCTAGCGGTTGGTCTGTTCGACGTTGTTGCTGTTGCTGCCGTTCTTCTCGTTGTTGTTGTTGTTGTTGTTGTGGCTGTTCTCGTGAGCTTTGGTGTTGTTGCTTCGGCGTATCCGATGTGAACGCCGTAGTGGAGACCGTTGTAGACGTCGTTGTGACTGATTTTATTCACTTATTCACTTTTGCTGCGTTATCGTTTTATTTGCGCCGTTGTTGTTATTGCAGTTGCGTCGCTTTGTCGTGCAATTGCATTCACAATTGGTCGTTCTGTAATACATAAACATGCATACATATGTACATATATTTATACATATACGTATATTTAAATGCTTTTTCTTTAAATACTCACATAATTACAAACAGACACACCTACATATGTGCCTACACTGCGCTTGCACTTGTTTAATATGTTGCAAATTTATAATTATGCACAGCACGGCAAAATGTCCAATCCACCGCGACAATACACGCTGCGCACGAAAATGCTATTCCAAAAGTTCTTTACCTCCTCTCTCCACCCACCGTACGCCTTTATTTACAACAAAAGACACAACACACACACACACGTATTTATTAGTCGTTCCAAAAAACTGCTGTTTTGTGCTGTTTTGTTTTCACAGATGACGGCTACGCTGCTTGTGTGAGGTGTGATGGGTTGGCTGGCTGGCTGGCTGGCTGGCTGACAGACAAGTATGTAGGCAGACAGGCAGGGTGGTGCAGTCGGCCGCTGTTCTGACTATTGTATGTGAACGCACAATTTGTAGTAATACTCGAGCCAGTGTAAAAAATTTCTCAACCAGATTGCCAGAGCGGCTCGTCCCAACTAGAACGTTGCGTTTGTCTAGAAGCGGAAGCAACCAGCAAAACAGCAAAACAGCCAGCTAGCGAGCCACCAATATGTCAACGAATCGATGCGAGTCAGCGCCGCTGAGTCGTCGTCGCCAGCTATCGTTTCTAGTGTTCTAACCACTACATTTTCAATGCGATATATGGTTGCGCTGATGCCAGGCAATGCGGAGAGCCCGAGAGTATTTCAATACAATAACCGCGTTGGTCGTCTCTTTGCGCTTGCTCTTTACGTAGCATCGAACAATACTTATCGCAGCTTGTAAGCTATTCCGAGCGTATTGGGTGTAAATATATACATATACGTATGCATGTATATATGTTTGTACATATGTGTGTACATTCAAACAAACATATGTATGTATGTTTGTATTGATAAAGTTAATTCAGCATGACACTGGGTTCTGGGCTGTTTATTATTATTGTTTGCTTTGTGCTTGCTGTGTATAAAATAAAAAGTAAATTTCGCTTTCGTTTGAGTTTTGGAAATTTTGCTTTCGTGCGCATATGCAGCACATTTCTCACCGTCGCGCTCTCAATAGCTGCCGCTACCACCGCCGCCGCCGCCAACAGCACCATCATCGTTGTCCGTTGAGAGCTTTATTCTTATGAAATTTAAAAAGTAAATAAATACATACATACATATGTACATGCACATGTATGTGCACTGTTTTTGGTTTTTTTTTTTGCGTTGGAAAGAGCGCCGGCGTTTGACTTTTAATAATTAAATAGAAGTACGTTTGTGCGTGTGTTTGTCGATTGTCTTACTTAGCATTGAGCGATTGCTGTAGCCGCAGCTTTGGTATTATCATTTTCATATTTTTTTCGCTGGATTGTTCAAATACTTGTTAATAAACTCATAATTGTTTTAAACTTATCATATGTATATATGTATATATGTTTGTTTGTATGTACATACATATTATGTAATTATGCAGTACATTTACTTCGTGACCCTCTTTTCGAGTGTCGTTATTGAAAAAATATCACATTACGAAAATTGTACTGTGACCTTTAACTTCAAGTAGATACTAGATTGCTTCGACCGGATGGAGCGAGATCCTTACCGTATACATATACATACAAACATACATATATTATTGGCACTTTGTAACCGCTGATGCCATTTTCGGCCGAACTCCTCCTTCATTTTGTGCTGTGCTTCTAGATGGTGTTCCAAAAATTTATTGAACCTACAGTTTCCTCCATGCCGCCTCCGAGCGTGCCATTCGATTTTTGTGAGAAGCTTTCACTGCATCTCAGAAATACACTCGAAGGGGTGACTACGAGTCACAGCACGACATTAAACAACTCTATGCATGCCCCCTAAAAGCAACTCATCTGATCCCCCATCTCCCTCTCTTCCGAACCTATCGAAAGAGTTCGTTTCCTAGACCTCCCGTTGGATGACTTCAATGATATAGACTAAGTAGCCTGCTCCTAAGCGGGATTACTAAACCGCTACCGCAACAACAACAACAGACCTTGCGCAGACTGATTAAGTCTGAGGCAAACGATGGTAACAGCATCGCTAGCACGGACTAGCCCGTCCGTCTTTTAGTTGCCTTTCACATCCGCGTGAACTGGGACCCCAGCGATAGCCTGCTAATTACTTCTGAACTTTTGTTTGACACACTTAATTACTTTAATAGGCGGCCGAATGACTTCCGGAAACTAGATCGATTTTTTTCCCGTTAAAGAGTTTGCCCATTTGGCACTTTCATCTTCAATAGACTCAGTTGTTGGCGTGGTAACAAAAGAATTTTTTCCTGCACAATTTGGGTACTGGACCCATTGATGCCCAGCTGTTAATACTATTCGAAAACTTTCGTTTCTGAAATTTTGCATGTTTGACGAAACGGGGGGTTGACCTCTGGCATTCCGAATTGTAGTATGCACCGATAAGAGTTCGAATATTGCTTCCGCGAGGTCCTACAGTTGGACTTAAATCGTCTTTTAGAACGGTGGACTAGATTTTTCTTATTGAGATCATCTAACGGCAGATCCAGGGAACGTGTTGTTTCGACGGAGGTTTAGATGAGCTGGTTATAAGGAGTATGCAAAGAGGTTGTACGGGGGTCAAATCTGTATAAGTATAAGTTGAATACAGTATCCAGATCTTCATTGTCATTATCGAGTTGAACCGGATATTATCCGACCAAGAGCTGTCACTCTTTCTGCGATCTAACCTCATTTAGGTCATCAGGTACGTCTAATCTTAGTAGATGAACTATCGGATTCGGTTGGGGCTCTCCGAACAGTGAGGTTATGAGAATCGAAATCAACTTCTTATTACTTCACCTGCCAAATATTCGAGCTCGAAAAACCTCTTCTCTTTACTTGTTTAACGACGAGTCTATTTTTTGGGTGTTATTTTGAAATGTGATAATGATATTAACCAATTATTATTTTTTTTCAAGTTTAATTCGCCATATGCATTTATCATATAATATATTATGTATGTATGTATGTATTTGAATACATCTATTATACAATTTCTTAAATGTGCTTTATTTCTACAATTCTCATTTACGCTCAACACAACAACGTAAGAAGGTGACGTACATGCAAACATACATATGTACATATACACATATATGTGCATGTATACATATATATGTATATAAGTAGTTGCGTATTAAATAAAGCACCTGAAGTTGCAATTGCGCATGTCAAGCAAATCTTATCGCTGACTTGTACTTTAAAAATACATATACAACAACAAGAAAACATAAGTGAATTTTTAAAGTTCGAATACATCACGATCTACACACATACATTTGCGCATATATATGTACATATGTAGATATATATATATATATGTATATGCCCATGTGCACACCATACACTTGCTCTTATTAATTTAATACGATTTTCATTATCCGTGGCGATGAGATCTGTTATTATATACATACATAAGTGTATATGAACATATTTATTTACAATACAATACACTACATTGCGGAGTCTCTTTTACACCAACCCCGCTTTGCTAATCAAAACATTCTTTGAAGTCAGCTTTGAAGAGAAAAATTACTTAAGGTTTCTTTTTCCTTCTCTTCGAGTCGAGTACATTTAATAGATTCTTTGTGATAAGATAATCAGTTTTTAAATGAATATTTACATATGAATTGAAACTTGCTAAGGTCGGTCAAAAATATCAATTAGAAATACGTAAGCTATAGAAAATATTCTCATAATAAAAAAAAACATATACATATAAAAATGCATATATATTCTTCTGCTATACTCTGGGTATTAAATCTGGGGAGGAGTGAGATAACAACTCTTCACATCTCATTTAACGCTTTTGGTTTCCATTCAGTAAATCTAACAAAATTTGTTCTTTTTACAATAATTTATCAAAGGTCCTCTCTGGCAATTTTCAAAACGTTTGACTGCAATTTCAGAGCATGCCAAATTGCTAGTAAAACACGAATAATTGCGAATTCAATTTCAGAATGCGAAATGCAAATGCAAGAATGCAGCATTTTTCGTCTGCAATAATAGGAAATTATGAATTTTAGACGAAATCGATTTTTTTTTTGCCACAAAAACTACTATGTCTGACAGCACCTTTATGCTTGGAGTTCCCTATCAGTGGAAAAATAAAAAAAAACCAAATTTACATTATTATCTAGTCTGGCAACCAATGTTTCATCGATAATTCTTCTTAATTTTGCTGCAAATTTATCGCTATAAAACGATTGCTGCCGTATTTAAGCAGGTGTATGTCAATAATTCCACATAGACAAAAACTAAATAATAACGAGAAAAAAATAAACTAGGAAAATGTCCATCACACAAGGTTTGACACTTATGATTCTTCGGGTAAGATTAGGGGATTGTTAAATTAAAGCCACAAAATTTGTTGTTCAGTTACTTTATTGTAAACATAGTGTTTGCAATGCTTGAGCTCACAGCTGTGATCATCTGATTGACAACTATGCACCGAGCCCGGATTTTTTCCGGCCAAGGGCTGTCAGCCTTTTGGCTACGTAAGCCCATTAAGGTCAACAGGTAACAGCACCTAATCGATTTCGCCTTTAATATAATAAGATGAAGTTGGAGGTACAATTGTTTTCTTTTCCTAGCGACTACTGAATTTCCAAAATGTCATGGAATAAAAATTAAAGCTAGACTCCTCTACAGTTAATTCATCCTCATTTTACTATTTTAACAAAATATATAAGTAATCACACAAATGAATTTCATAGGCAAAGTAATTACACACAATTTGAAGCTGTTTTTGTTTTCATTAAGACCATTGCGACCAGCAGTGCTGAATTCGCTTCGTTTTACTGCAACGTTAACCTTATCACGCTCTGTCCTACACTGAACATGCTGCGGTATTAGCCATTTCACTTCTATAAGCAGCGATTACGCGCATATATTGTAGGTGGTTGAGTTTGAAGATTTTTTGTAACGAATATTCGATAGATTGGCTGTAAGTTTGTCAGTCGTTAATTTTCATTTCATTACAGTTTAGTTTACAAATGAAAATCCTTCAGAGGTGGCAAGGATTCACATTCTTTGGTGGCAACGTGGATAGTTATCGACCAACTGTCATTTTTTTCGATATACTGTTGGTAGTTGATACTGGTTGACATTCCAATTGTTTACATAAAATAATTTTCTGCATTTGCAGTGTAAACAAATGATTGTTTACTAAAATTGTTTGGGAAGAATTAAAATTTCACACTCACAGATTCTCCTACAGTAACTACTACGAACAATACTATGATGAAATGAATGAGCTTGACTCTGATGAACTGAAGGTGCCTCATCATTGACGAACCGGAATATTTAAAGATCAATGAAATTAATTCAAACGATTTACCTGAAAAACAGACCAGAAAATATTGCTGAATGAAGAAGAAGAGAAAATAACCACTCAAACATCGAAAATCCACCTCAACAAATGATTACGCTAACAAAAACTTCGCTTCAATTCCTGAAAGAACATATTTTTGTGGCAAGAATCTCCCAATATATAAAGTAAATACGTCAACCATAAAGGAGGAAAACAGCTATCATATTTAAAAATGCAATGGCTTATGTCTGTCTATGGATTAGCGATGATTTGTATAGTAAACTTGAACTGATTGGCTTTTATTAAAGGATGTTTCATTTCACTTACCAACTGCATATAAAAAGCCTCAAAAAAGATTCTTAAAATGTCCTCAGATTAAAAAAAAAGATATTCTTACATAAAACTCCAATTCCAATTTTTTAGCGAAACATATTTATCAGTGTTTTCAAAGTGAATAGATGTCTCTGTCTAAAAAAATATTTAGCATTCGATGCTTACGGAAATAAGATTTAAAAGTTATGTTCAGTTTTCAATTCTGCCTTTTAAATTCATGCTCTACTTTTTAGGCAAATACTCTTGTAATTAAAACCTGAAAACTTTTATTTTTACAATTAAAACATGTCGAATTTACAAAAAAAATTTATTAACGTTGTTCTTAGTTTTCATTTCAATTTCAACGCATTTTATAATGGATTACACTAAGTACCTTAAGTAAGTTTTTATATACTAAATATTAGTGTCATATACAGTGGTAGAAAAATAATATAAAAACAAAAACTGCACTAACACCTAAATAAGCATAAATTATTTAATAATACTAAAGAGCTTAAAAGTTATTTACAAAAACTAAATCACATCAGCATGTAAGGAAACAGGCTTTGAGTCCACCATTCGCCATCGTTCCCTTATTAACATCAGTTGCTCATTATTTCGTGTGAGCAGCTAGTCGCTTATTTTCACCTTTTCGCAGTATAGCCTCTAATTGCGATATTAACCCAATAGCACGGAAATTTTCCATAGAAAGCGCAAATTCTTCAATCGGTTTAAGGTGCTCTAATGCTTCTGCATAAGTTGTCAACTCTGGTCCGTAACCGTTGCTGTGGTTGTCCTCGATATTTCCATTTGTTTTTCCGTTTGTGTTACCATTAATTATGGGCTTCGGTGAAGGTGCTGGTGTCAGGCCGTTGCTGCCATTGGGTGAAGGTATGCCGTTGAGTTTGATTGGCTTCACGTCACAGTCATTCGCTTCGCACTCATTAGTTAAGTCTGTTACATTGTTGGTGCCATTTATTTCCGATCCCTCTTCTACGCTTGAACGTGGTCGCTTTACAGGTGGCGGTAGCACGGGGCTAGCACGATGTGCCGGTGAAGCTAACTTCTGTAATTGTTGTAGCGGTGGAGAATTCGAGGCAGGACGTTGTGGTTGTGGCGAACTGTAACTGTTGTGTTGACTTTGCCTATCGTAGTATCCTTCATAGCCGTCATAGCTGCCATTATAATTTGATATCGGCTGACCGTAGGCGTCATAACCACCATGACCTTGCTGTTGTTGATGATGGTAACTTTGCTGTTGTTGCTCTTTTAATGACTGATTCTGCGAATCTTGATCATCATCCTCTTCATATTCTCCATACTGTTGCATATAATCCATGTATTGTTCTGGCAAACTCTCCAATTTCGCAATACGTTCCGCACTGGTTGGTGGGAAAAGATGTTGTAGATCTTGTACAATGTCATTTATCCACAACGACACCCCCAGCGGTTTGAGTTGATTATTAGCCAATTTTTGGGCAAAACCACTTAAATGCGTCTCACGGAATCTATTCAGCCAACGATTATCAGCCACAAAAGAAGTTGAACCAATTAGTTGTGCGGCTGAAGCAGCTTTATCCTTAATCATGCCATGTGTTATGGAACCACGAAGTTGCGGATTCAAGTTAGCGCGTACCAACCATTCATATACGACAGCATTAATGTATGCACATTTACGACTACGCTCTATCTCTTCTACCATAGCTTGCTGTTCCACGGCTTTCAAGTCATTCGGTACATCCAGTCGTAACGATGGTACTGCTGAAGACATTAAACGTCTGCCACCTATTAGATTGGGATGGAAATGCAATGCACATACAACTGGCTTCTTGAAAGGTAGTATGCGATTAAGTGAGGCGTGACAAGCTTGCTTCCATAGAGAGTAGAAAGGATTTTCAGGTCGTGGAAATTGAAAGAATTGCAATTGTGGACTCTGTCGTGAATTGGAGAGGCATCCCACGATGCAACAACGTCTAATAGTCGGCATGCTGAAATTTCTTTGTCTCTATGTTTTAACTGAAACTTCTAACTTTTACTGCGTTTTGAGACACGGGAGATTGTTTTTTTTTTGTAGGCTATATTCAGCTGATCTGAAAAGAAAAGAAAAGTATTTTTGAGTAACCAGAAAAAATATATACATATGAATATAAGAAGAAGTTATAAGAAATAAAAGAAAAATAATAATAATTAAACTTTACAATATAGGACTTATTATCTATGTTGTAAAAAATAAGGTATATAACTATTATTTAAAAAAAAAAATGTATTTTTTTTAATAATTAACTTATTTAATTGAATTTGGATAAATTGAATCCTACATTTAGACTCGAAACAAGCTTTTATACAGCGCCATTGTGTATATGTACTTTTTGTTTTATTTTTTTTTAATTTTAATTCAATTTTTTTATTTTATTTAATTTTAATTCAATTTATTTTGTTTTATTTTGTTATTTTTCACTTTATTTCATATTATTTTATTTTATTGATTTTATTTGTTCTCATCTGTAATCTATTTTTATTTATTCCATATATGTACATACTATAATTAAATTTTTTATTATTATCTTATTTAATGCAGTTTATTGTAATTTGATATCATTTTATTTCTTTTTTTTTTTTTATTTTATTTACTTTTTATTTTAGCTTTACAGTGATTAATTGAATTATTTGTCTAAATCGTCAGTGAGTATTCCTATCCTTCTTTCTCGACAACACAACCCAACTTTTCTAGGTACGTAGTACGTACATATGTACATATGTACACTACAAATTCACAAGTATACATATTGACATTTCGAGGTCTCTATAATATCATCTTAGCAATTTCGATTTCACACAATTTCTCGAAATTTTATTAATACTGTAAAATTACTACAACAGGGGAAGGAACCGACAAGTAATCGCTGAGTCTACTTAGCAGCAGGGTGTTATACGAATAGTCACTCACACGAATATAATTTCAAAGGTTTAGTATGGTATGTGAGTATATGTATATTGTAAAAAGTTTGTATACATATACATACATATATACTCGAGATATTTTCGAGAGCTAACTATGTTTCATGAAAACACCCTTGGGGAGATTTTTACAGAAAAAAGTCAAAAGTAACCGTTGTCAGCCGTATGTATACCCTGCACAAAATTACACACAAGCATACATACATACATATCTATGTATAGAATATAGATTGTGGATGGAAATAAATTACAGATACTTGATATTCTACCCATCATGATAAATTATACCAAAAGTTTGCACATTCACACAATTTTAGATACATAAATACATATATATATAAGGTTTTATATAAGTACTTCATACATACATACATACAAACATATGCACATACAAGTAGCTAACACTGAGACCCCTTAACTGAAAGTCGTTGTAACCGAGACTTCCCATTTTCGGGTAACTTTTATCAAACCAGTACACACTTGTACACGTATAGATCCATGAAAATCGATAAACTCACTCGGTCGGTTGGCATATCTACCGTTTTTTTCTTGTTTTTGGTTTTTTGGTTTGTTAACAGATAAATGTGAGCGCGTTCGATGTTATTTCATTTGAAATTCTACTGACTCGCCTCGTAACCCCTAATTGTGGCACTACAGCTCATAAAAGCAAGATTTTTGAGAAATCTGAAATTCGTCACAGGTAAATGAAGGTTATATAGCAAGGTATCTGTTCGTAAATATACACACAAGTCACATACATATATATGCATGAATGTACAAGCGACGGAGCGGTGAGGCTTCAGTGTATTTTTTTTCTTTATTTTTGGTTAATACCTTTGTGTTTGTAACAGCCAACTTCCAAACTAATGTTCATTTGGATGCGGGTTATTGTGTTGACTCAGACACTCGCTTGAGACCGTGTGAGTCAAGCGGTTTTTGTTGGTGTGATTTTTCTTTATTTCATTCTTCTTTTTAGGTGTCTTCATTCGGTCGATTTTGACAGTAAAAGATAATGAAGATTGCTCGGAAAAATAGTGGAAAATCAGGTTGCTCTTAGGTAGAGCTACAAATCTATGTACATTGATTTGTGTGTATATATGTATGTATATATGCACATTCAGACTTTGTAAGAAAGATATTTTTGGTACTCGGTCATCGTGTTCTGTCGAATGACAACTCGAAAATGAAAAATTTGCTGACTATTATCACACAAAATGGCTTCCCATTTCCAAACACAAAATGGCTTAACATTTCCATACTTTTGATACCCTCTCCACGTCGTGTCGCTTATGGGGTCTTCTGTGAAAAATTGAGCTATCGCTTGGGGTTCTATTTACTTATCAATACTATATATGTACCTAATTGAATGTGTATATCTGTTCTGTTATGTATGCCACTATGTACTTTGCACCATTTGCCCACAACAACTCAGTTCCCAGCGCAGTCTTGTGTCTTGGTGTGTCTCTGACGCCGTTCTACGCGTTTCCACCGCGCTCGCCCTCGATTAAGAGCATTGGATTATACATCGTACATTAATAAGAGAAACATACGAATATGTATGTACATATGCATAAAAGATTTACTTTTTCGCTACTACTAAGGCGTTTGATTCCCATGGCTTGTTGGTTTGGCGGATGTTCGAGTGGTTTAATCTCGTTTGGCATCATATATAATGGTGTTTCTTGTTTAGGTGTGCCAACAGTTGGGCTTTAAATAAATATGTTTTCTTGATCTGGATGTCTGTGTGTGTGTGTGAGTTTGTATATAGAAGTATCTGTGTAGAACAGTTGTCTTATCTCTAAGAAAGTTCAATTCTACTCAGTTTCTGTTCCAAATTAGTTGTTGTTGTAGTGTTTTTGGTCTTTAACTATAAAATCACGTAATCCCAACTGATTGTAGAAAACAATCTGGAGATTCACTACACGTATTTTGGTATGCATAGGTGTGTATCTATATACATACATATATTATATGCTATGTCTGTTTTCACCCACGCTTGAGTCTCAATTGCCAATTATAGATTTTAGCTACCTTACCTAAGACGCACTTAGAAGTATCTACAATACACATTTGGGTATGTATGATATATACATACATACATATGAACATTGTTGTGCTATTGACAAATGGTTTTTGCGCCCAAATATGGGTGAGTCGTGAAACTCTATAACATTTTACTCTGAATTCTTGAAGCTATGAACGCGCAATTTGTTTTGTTATTAGTTTGGGGTTTGAAGTGTCGTCATGCATCGTTAAATTCAAAATAAAATAAAAAGTGTCTAGTCTTTAATCTTTTCGATCTTCTAAGAAGGGATATTTTTCATGCGAGTACACGCTCACGTTTCTGGGGTTAAAAATTCGACACGAAATGTCAGTAAGAATTAGCCATTAACGAAATGTCGAAACTACATTCCAGCCGCTCTCCGAACAGAATTATTTTAGTATTTGTAACTCGAGTGCAACAAAACAATATTTATTGATTTGGACAATTAAAAAGTTTCAATTAAAATTGGACTCTTTCAGTAAAAACAAAAAAGAAAATTAAATGCCGCTCTGGATATATGTACATACATACATATGCACCTATGTATGTATGTAATTGCATTTGGCAATGACATAAATAACGATCAACCCTTAGATAGTCAGAAACATCTTTCAGAAACGATGCTTCCAATAAATCCCTATGTTCGTATTATATAAATGAACATATGTCCACATTTCACCAAAAAAATATAGATAAAGCAGATATCTATTACTCGTAAACATAGAAAGATATATGTATAATATTACTGGTTAGCTAATACTCATTTTCATTAGCTATCCATTCATATATTTTTCAAAATCAGATAGCTAGAAGATATCCCTTCAGTATCTGAAGGTAACAAAGAATTTGTCATAACAACATTTGAAAAACAGTTCTATGAATATGTGCCATATACTACATAGACATGTCCGTATGTACGCTAGCAAAATACCATGCAGGAAATTAAAATTAAACATTCTTTTTGAATAAAAAGTCTATTTCTGTATGCGCAACCAAAATGCACGAAAGAGCTCTAAACAAAATTTTGCAAAAAATGCAAGGAAAGAAAAGTGAAAATTAAAATTTAAAGTCGAATTTAAAAATAGAGATCAAATTTTTCAAGATTCATACATACATATATACATATAATACATATGTACATATGTATATACATAAACACACTTATTGCAGCTTAGTGGGTAGTTTTATTCAGACAGTGGATGATTAATGAACCGTGCTTCTTGTTGGGTAGTTGTTTTTTGTGCTAGGGAAAATATCACGAAAAAAAATAAATATACATATGATGTATGTATATTGTGGATGAAATATAATTTATTTATGAAACATTTGACTTCGTATAATTTTTTTTAAGTTTTAATTAGCTTTTACGGCTTTTACAGTCTGTATGCTAAACATATTTTTAACCGTTTTTTTTTCATCGAGTTTTTTAAAACAAACTTTTAAAAGAAAAAAATTAAAAAAAACTACATTCACAAGGTGTTACAGATAAATGTAAAATTATTGACTTAAAAATTATAAATTTGCTTCTCAGAGAGTAGTATCTAATAACATTTCGTTTAGATATTCTGCATGATCACTTTTCTGTTCTTTACATTAACATTGTTGCTACAGAGGTATACAACCCAGAGATGCACAACTAACGTAACGTAGCCTTTTCGTTTTTTGAAGTGCAAAATAAACAGAATATAATAAATCAAAATGATTTGTATTCTTTTCGACGCCATGTCACCGAAAGGAAATGAATTTGTTAATGTTAAAACCGCACAAATTTATTATTAATGCTAATTTTAAAATGACTGCTTGCAATGATATTAACAGCAAACTTCGATTTTAACACTTAACATACTCTGTTAACGATTTAACATTGACGACAGCTTTTCGTTTCGCTTGTAAACGAAATAAATTGTATGTTGACAACTGCTTAAACGATAATAATTCCAAATGTTTCAACCGAAAAGATTGAAATTCTTTGATTTAATTTAAATTTATCGTTACAAAATTACAAAAATTTGATGTTATAAAAACTGACTTTACTATTTACCACTTTTACTAAAAAATGTTGACAAAACAAAAAAAAAATAATGTAAACAACAGCATAAAGAATATAATGTTGTCAGCACATGTGTCCCTTCAATAAAAATGTTGTTGTCAAACAAAGAATCAGCTGTTCGCGGGCGAACAAAACAGAGCAATAAGGCCCTAGATAGTTATATACATACATATACATATATATACAAATGTATACACTTAACCACAAACAATAAAACGCTATAAAATAATAACAAAAAACACTCACTTGAAATGCACTGAAGATTTCTGGTATGTAACTATGTATGTATGTCCATACATACATACGTATGTATACATGTATCTACTACAATATACTTAAACTTACGCACATATGTACATACATATATACTCATGCATGCATATATTTGCAAATATTTATATGAAAATGATAATTACCTTGCGCGCACACAATTCAGATTCTCAAGACCCCGTCACTGCGCTATCTCACTTCAACTGGCACGTATCCGAATATTTCGCACTGACGCTGATTCGTTCACTCACTCGGCTCTCTTTCCTTTCAAGCGACTGACTTTTGTACTCAGTCCCGCAGCTATACAAGTACTTATAGTATATACTGGTTTGGGGGCAATCTATATCCGGCACTGACAGTCCCCAATACTACACTCTATACACAAAGCAAAGTGTATGGGGCGATATTGTGTAAATGTATGTATGTATATATACTCAAGTGGCTCCGGTACTGTGACCTCCAAGTATTATGCTATGTCTTGCTGTTCAAAGAATCACTTTCGAAGCGGTGCTCATATATGTATTTGTAAGTTTTTTATGTCAGTTAATGACTGATATTTTTTTTTTGTTTTGAATTTTTAATTTTTAATTATCTCCAGATGGTATTCTCCAAAACGTGCCGGCTACGTTTTCTTTTATTTATTGTTTGTATTATATTTTTGTTTTGAATCAAAATGTTTTCAACGATATCAAAAGTCAGTTGAAGAAACAGCAACAACACACCGTTCACTGAAACTCACTCTGTTCAATTCAGTCCAACAAACGGCAGAGAGAACTTTACTTTGTCTTTTTCTTTGTACGAACGTTTTTGAAACGCCACTGCGCCTAGTTAACTACAACTGACTGTTCAATGTGCAAAACGTTAGATCCACTCGCTATACTATGCACCACCGAGAAGTAAAACAGCGAACGGTAACAGCAAACAGCAACAGTAACAGCGCAGCTACAGCAAGAGCACAGACACTGAAATTTTACACAAACGTTCAACGCGACTGCTCAACACTAAATGAAACGTACATTCGACCGACTCGGTAGTCGAGGTCTCGTGCGCCCCAAAATAATACTCGTTTCCCATACGCGCGGCAAGTATATAGACGAAAATCCTCCAAGCTTACTATGGCCCGGCGTACATCCGTCCGTATAGTCGGTCGTTAGTTGTTAGTCGCCTCAGACTCAGCAGTGCCACCAAGTGCCTGTGCCAAGCGATGTTTCGATGTATAAGCACAAAAACAACTACTGTGTAAGTTTATATGTATGCTGCATACAAACAAACATACGAACACGATATTGTATTGCATTTTGATACGCATACATATACATAGAGTTTTGAGTGAATGAATGGTTGCTTGAATAGATGGTTGGTTGGGATGGTTTGTCGGGCTTTGGTCGTGGTTGTTGGCTGTTAGCTGTGGTTACTGGGTCGTACGCGTTTAGAGGTAGACTAGGTAAAGAAAGGCAAAAATATTCAATCCAAGTACGTACTATACGTACGAGTAATAAGACGAGGTGAGAGGTAAGAAGATATGTACATACATATATGCCTGTGTGAGTGTGTGTGTGTCTGTGTGGAAGAGCAGCTATGATGATGATGATGATGATTTCGACAACATTGTGCTGTGTGGGAAGCGACTTAAGTTGAAGAAGCAGCAGCTGCAGAACCCAACTGAAAGACTACCATTGACTTAGCAACCGACCGACCGACCGTATGGCGAACTGACGAAGTGTAGCACATCATAAGTAATGGAGGCGTTTACGATAGCAACGTTGATTCGGGGTAAGCGTGTATTTTTGCCGTTGATGAAGATGATTATGATGCTGAAGAAAAAGTCGGTGAATTCAACTAGCAGCTGCGTCTTCGGCACCTTGTTTGTCGTCATCATTCGTTCGTTGGTGGTAGAAAGTAAATACATAAAAGGTATTAAGGCCAAACGTCGGTGAGGTAGTCGGTATAAAGCGACGCTATTATATGGAGATGCAGGCAGAAGTCTTTGTATTGCTATGGGCTTGACGTTGAGAGCCGACTTCGTTGACAGACGTTTGGATTTCATCATCTTACTTGGTGAGCTGGCGCGCTACATGCCACTTTCTATCTATCTTCTGTAGTATTCGTTATGAGATATCCATCTATCTTTGTATTTACGACTTAAGACTCGAGTTGTTTCGAGGTACATACATACATATGTGCATACATACACGTTTTTAACCATTTCAATTGTACATTTGTTTCTCTGTTCGTGGTTTCGTTACCCAGGCTTTCGGCTGCGGGTTTTGAAAGTACAATAGACTAGAGAAGATACGGAATTATGTACATATAAACGCATGCCCACATGAACACACACCACATTATACATATTTAAAACGGGTTCGGTCGGTCCGCATGCTATATACGAGTTGAAAATTCATATGCGCCGCACTTAACCATCAGAAAATTATTTTTATACACGCATACCCGCGCTATAACGACGCCTAAAGACATTTCAGGGCAAAATTATGGCGTCCAGCGAGCTGTAAAAATATGTATGTACACATGCACGTTTGCACGCTTTGATTTCACATATGTAAGCACGTACCTACTCTCGTATAGGGTATGAGGCATTGAACTATGGCGGGCGCACAGTGAATATTCACCGAGGCGGTAAGTAGTCTCACTGTCGATTTGGGTCTCTACAACAGCCGTAGACAGCAGATAACCGAAGGCCAACAACCAAAAGCCGACAACCGACAACCGAAAGCCGAATACAGAAGACCGACGACCGAAGACCGACTCAACCAGCAACCATTAATACTGGGGGCCGTGCAGTGCAGTGAACGACGTTTTTCGTCGAACATATTGCTTTGCGGGCGTACACAACGTCCTCATATCGTTGAATGATTGTTATACATACATATGTAGTGTATATAAATATGTATTTGTACGGCATATGTAGGAGTGACTTTTTATATAAATTTTATACCACAGATACATACATACGTGTATGTACGTACATCGTTCACATTTAGGGGCCTTTTTATTTATGACACTATAATAAATTTTCTACCAAGTTGGCTGGGTAAGTTTTAGGGCAAGGGTCTATAAAAAGCAGTGGCAGCTAGAACGCAAACGAGTGGAAGCGGCGAACGAACGAGGTGTGTTTTCGTGTTTTCGTGTTTTCATGCTTTTAAGGATGGATGTGTGCATGTGTGTGGGAGCATATACATATGTATACGAGTATGTATGTATTTGCTAACGTAAATGTGTGTGATAAAACTGTTATTTTTTTAGCGGTATTACTGCAATATTATTTTATTGGGGCAAAAATCTAAAAAATTTAAATATTTTTTCTCATTTATTGACAGCCCAGCGAGAAATAAGCCACTTCAAACTACATGATTGGAGGATACAGAATTCTAAGCTTCTAAGTATGCAGTTGCGGTTCCGGGGCTATACACTATTTCCACTCTTGCGTCTACGTCGAGCGACCTGTAAGCGTGGGCAACCCTATTTGGTTTAAGGGTTCGCTGAAGTCAATATAAAGTGTCTGTCCATCAGAGGGGCGTTGGTCGCCTTGAAGCAAGCAGCTCGCAATATAAAAACATACAAAATTAGAATTACCCACCTAGCTAGGTTGTGTGCTCGGTTCGGGATCCGCCACGTGGAAACCAGCTTTAATAAAAAAAAACTAATAAAATCTCAGAGGAGAACCCCACGGCAGTTTTCGGATCCTCAATTGGGAAGGTTGATGTCTTCGTAGAAATAGGAAGCGGAAGCGAGTAGGTCCTTGCATCATTTACTACAGGAACAAAAATTTGGTGTCAGATTGGTGTTGGGAGTAAGCTTCCTTAGCCGAGTACTGGCATTCGTGAACAAACAAAAGGTTGAAGAATAGCAGCATAAAGGTCAGACGCCTGTATTCTTCTTGGGTTTGTGTATGAGTCTTCGCCTGCGGGCGATGTATTTCTTTCAAAATAGGTCCAGTTGAGGACAACAAAGGCAAGAAGACAGTGAAATGTGATCTCCTGCCAGTGATCTTGATTAGTGAGGAAAAACTGTAGGACTTACAATCAAATTTTTTAAGAGAACTGCAGAGCTGAACTTCTATGGAGTCTTCCCAAGCGATCAACGAGTACCTAAACTAATCTAAGGACACAGAAAACGGGCACTTAGTGAATACTGCTTACATATACAGGACCTCAGGGCTGTTGTTGTTGTTAGCGTAAGCACAAAATATTCCTGTTAGAAGTTTTTGGGGTAGGTTGCGAGTGTGACTGTTCTCGGTCGGATAAAAACACGGGTCGTTCCGGTATAAAGACCCGACTGGTGCGGGAAAAACCCTGGACCCTTACTCCGCAAGGATATAGGACCAAACAGTCCCTGCGGCTGCTCGTATAATATTATCGACTAAAAACCCCTGCAGGGCACACAAATCAAGTTGTTTTTTTTTTCACACTCGCCAACAGTTGGAAAAGAACAACATTGACTTTTTGTTAGCGATTATTTTTAAAATACTCGAGACATAGATCCACCCTTGAATATACACCGTTTCCATATAGTACATAACTATCTATTATCTACGGATGTATATACACACATACACATGTGTATGAACATATATAGACTTATACACATTCCCCTATCGAATGAATAATTTCATTAATTCTTTTGCTGCCGCTGTGAGCATGCTCGATCCGTAAAGTTTTATTTTTACAGTCAACCTTGCTCTGCGACAGACGAACCGAGGGTGCGCAGAACTCATCCAACTCGCTGAGTGAATATACAAAACGAACGTTTGCTGACTTCATGGCATGGCTCGTAGATACTGAGTATAAAATTTAAATAAATATAAAATATTCTATGCAACCCTTCGGGGACTTATAGCAGCAATGGTTCATAAACCCCATGAGCAAATGATCCCATTCTTGGATTCCCCTACAACAAAAACAACTGCATACAAACACGAGCGCGGTATACATACATACATATACGTATATGTAGATATGCACTTGTGTACAAACATACTGATATAATTAAATGACGCCCGTACATTACAGATACATACACAGCCGCTTGCACTGACATACATACACACAGACATACATCCATACATACATACTTATTTATACATACATATCGCACGTCCCAATATCGCTGACTTGCTTTATACCCATACAGTCGGGGATTATCGTCGACGTCGTAGTCATCGCCGACAGCATCATTGTTGCCCAGCTGCCATTAAATTCATCCAATGCGACCCAACGTATTCACACAACCCAAACTCGAACTACTTGAAAAACTGGCAAACTCATCGTCAGTACGAATGGAGAGTATAACGATGATGAAATGAAACCATGAAATGGAATTTTACTCGGGTAGAAATACACAATTTTCTGTATCTGTGTATCTGGATATTTGCCAACTCGCTCTGGCATATTGAAGCGGCTGTGTGGATGAGTGAGTGGTTTAGTGGACGTGCGGTCGTTTGGTCGTTTGGTCGATTTGGATGGCTGATATAATATTTTTTATGGATTCACTTGTAGTTATACTGCTTTATACCATTAAGAGATATTTATTTGAGGCAAAAGAGACGTTCAATTGGTTAGAGATACGAGAACTAGAAAATACGCTTGGACGCACAGTAAAGAAGAAATAGATATTTTTTTTAAAACTGGTATTGCGTATCGCACGAGAATGCCATTGTTGGCCTTTAATAGCTATGCATTGAAACTGTTCACTTAGCCGGTCGTTAAGTGGGTCCGTCCTTTTGTTTGGTTGTTTGGTGTTGTTTTTCTAGCAATATGGTTCTTTCTCTAGGCATCTTAAATGTGCGATTAACAGACTGGCATTTCCGTCGAATTCGACTGTGCATTTACCTGAGCTCACAATCGCATCCTACAAATTGTTGTAAGCAACCCAATGCCGATTTGGTTTCGGTATATTTTGTTGCCATTTTTTCTCTCCATTATTTTAACGAATTTTGTTTTGTGACTGATCGGGAGAAGACTAAACTCAATATTCTATGACCTAAAATCATAATAATACTAAATTCTTTGTTGTTAGATTTCCGTAGATTTTACGGACGGAACTTCACGACTGGAAATTTTACTGGTGCGCTTTTGCGGTTGATGTTAGGGGCCTTGGAGCGTACGTATGTATGACTAAATCGATTGGCCTCAGCAAGTTTCCTAATAGAGCAGAATCTAAGGTATCTTTTTAAGTTACCTGCTCACCGCTATGAACGATAACTCTGGGTGGTAGAGTCTCTCTTTAGCATCAAACTTTTTAACAAATTTTTGCGTTTTTATAAGACTGCACTTTTTCTTGTTGCTCTCATTGCGTCTATTGGACGAGTATATCAACCAGCTGTCCAGCAATATCTTCCTATTTAAGGGGTTGGACGTTCCACCTGCATACCATCAAATCATAGTACCGGATGCATTTGCTATGGTTGCCAACAAAATATGCAAGCTTTCCTCCTAGTCTCTGTAAGTTTTTCAGTGTTGCTGACTTTTGCGTGCCCAGTAATTAATCTCAGTTCGGGAAGGCTAACAAATTTAAATGGATTTTCTATATAATAAAGCCGCTCCTTTCAAGATCAACTGCTATAAAAAAAAATAGGACGAAGTTGCTCCACTAACGCTCCTACCTCTTTTAGTCCCCACACGGTTTGGTTACCGCAGCAGGCACATGGATTGTACATCGGTTTATATGATATACGAAGAGAACTCAAGAGCTTGCTTTAAACGAGATTTTGCAACTGCATATCCGGAAAAAGAACTACAACGCTTGATGAAATTTTCTTTAGATGTAGTACTGCCACTTTGAAGGCCAGAGCTCGAGTCTGGTTAAATCAATATCCAAAATTATAGTAGATTAATTTTTCGAACCCCGGTCGCCTCTCGGGCTGGAATGTCAATCACTTCGAGTGTATTTTTGATATTAAATATAAAAATAAAAAAAAAATCTTATCAAGCTTCATATAATACCAAATAATAAGTTGTTTCATTATATTTCTCGCTACTCAAAGCTCCTCACGTAATTGGCAATCGGATTTATGTTTGAACTTATAAGATTGGCTTGTAACATATCTACTTACACACGATCTATGCTCGGCATAAAAAATATGTTGATCACAAACTGAGAAAACAATTTTTTTAGTTGGGAAAAAAATAGGGGTTGGGTATGAAAGGGTGAGATTTTAGGGTTATTTGTATTTTGTAAGGCCACATCATATAAAAAATAAAAAAAAAATGTTTGA